CGAGTATGCATTTTGTCTAGGGATTTGAATTAGTTCCAAGTACTATCACAATGGTTGCAATTAGAAGCTGCCTGTTGTGAAGTTAAGTACTTGTACTTTTCCAACCTTTTCTACCTGCTGAAGGAAAGGGTGGGAAGTTTACTGTAGACGGAGTGGAGTCAGTTACTATTTGGTACTTCGTGCTGTTTGTTTACCGGGAGTTTAAATTCTCCAATACAAATATTGTTGATAAATTTGAAAACTTTTTGAGTTTGAATTTTTGTGTAGTAATAACGCTGGCGTTGATCGAATTCTAAAAATATCTTACTAAAAAATTGTTCAATATTTTGCATTATACAATGGCGGATTTTTGGTGGCTTCAAATGCTGGAATTGCTGGATGAGGCATTTGAAAGACGACGAATACCAATTTTTTGGCCGAGGTATTCATCACTTATAGTTACGTCACTTTTCTTCGTTAGTATGTCCATCATAATGAACAATTTACTCATTTGGCTCGCATTTCGTTATCAGTGGGCAAGATGGAATTACAACCGAGCGCAGATAATGTGGTGGCAACACTATAATATTCAATGGTAAGTAATAAGTTTGGTTAAGTTTTATATTCTAAAATAAACTGTTCTGTGAAGGTAAAAAATGTCCGGCATTGAAGTTGGCTTCGAACCTGGATTTGAGTCTCTTTTTCTGTAAAATCGGGTGAGTCATTCTTGATTTAATTAATAACTTATTCAACCATATACATCGAAATATCAAAGAAAAGAGTGCTTCTCTGCTACCAAGGGCGAGGGCTCGATTTTGCATTGATACAAACAGATTATTCTAAGAAGCCATAAACTCACAACAAGAATCGGAGATGGCCGGTGGCCACAATTTACGGTTGTTACTTCTTGTTTGATATAATGCCAAATTTTTTGAATGCAAATAAATATTTCTTATTTCAAAAAATTGGTCCAAGGCTATTTACACCCTGTGAAATACAGTCAAACAAATTTAGCCTCTTCGAAAAATTATAAAATTAAAATAACCTTTACAATTTAAAGTAAATGGATATATATTGGAGATCGAACTGGGGATCCATGTTTTTTATGGTTGGTATTATGTATTTAAAGACCGGCTTACTACGAGAAATATTGGATAATAAAAATTAAAATAATAACAAACAAAATCAAGGCAAATCCATAAATCACGAGTGTAGGAATATGTTATTTTATAATATTTATAAGGCATGTGCTAGGCCAAATTTTGAAATGCTGTCATAAAAGTTTTGGTAGGGATGATTAGACAAATTTTTCATATATCTTTTTAACTGCGTCTTTTCAACTATGTTTTTCCCGTTTGCGTCAGAACAACTTTGTTAAAGTGATTTTTTATTATGTCTTAGTAGTCATATCTCGTTACACTGGTATGCCTTAATTCCTGGTCTTAACTCCGGTTCAAATATTGTGTTATTTTTTATAACAAATTTTGTAACTCCATAAATACTAATATTGCGTAAATAAACAATTAGGATTAAAATAATTTTTAAGGTACTTCGCTTCCTAATCTAAAATGAATTGAATGTGTTCCACCAATAACTTTGCGGCTTTCATAATATTACAAATTCACATTTGTTTCAATTTGCATGGATTTTATATTTGAAATTTAAAAAGGGACAGCTAAAATTTAGTTTACAATAGATTCTTTTATCAGTTTGGACGGGAGTTAAAGCAAGGGATTAAGGCAGTCCAGGTAACAGTATAACGAGATGTGACCTTGGACCAGAGTTGATGATAGTCCGTGGTCGTCACTTCTTTTCTATGATGGCTGAAAATATGGCTCTTCGTATTAATAAACAATAAATGTCAAAAAGCAATTAATGCTAATTTATTAAGAATCGTGGAGAAAGAAAAGATTTTTGCGAAAATAGAAGATTTTAACTATCATCTGGATAGAACACGTATATACTTTAGTACTAAATTTTGGAAAACGAAAACAAGTAATTTTATCTTCGAAGTCGAATACTAATTACAAATTTCCAGATGCATTATATTGATTAAAAATTTATTTACAAACCTTTTTAAGTAAGAATATAAATTTTCACTGGTCTGATCTTATTCGATTTTTTTCTTTACCGAAATGTTCTAAAATGGTTCCATTATATTATGACATTATGAGGTTCAAATAGAAATCGAATGGAATAGGAAAAAATAGTCAAATTACTTTGCTAGTAGAGAATTAATACTGATAATTATGGAGCAAATTAAGTTTTAAAGTTCAAATAAGAAATCGTATGCGACAAAAATATTTATTGGGTCTATTACGTGATTTTTAACGAGAGTAATTTCTAAAACTACTCGACCGATTGTTGACAAATTTTATCTATATTTGAGGAATATTATGTTTACCAAAATTTGTTTGATCAACCCCACTAAAAATGTGAAGACGTCTTATTAAAATTTTGCATAGTAAATTTTATTTTCGTTTTATAACATAACATACTCCTACACTTGTGGTTTATGAATCGGTTTTGATTTTTCCCCTAGACATCCAGACTTTTGGAAAAAAATGAAAATTGTGAAAAAATATTTTCAATGTAACTTTGAAACTGTAAAATCGAATGCTTTGAAATCTTGCAAACTTTAACAAACTTGATTTTTTTTTCTGAAACTCTTGTAGTTTTTAATTAATTCTAGTAATTTCTAAAAGATCCTTAAATTTTAGCTGAAATAAATTTTGATGAAACAAAATACTTCTGTCTTTCAGTTTTACACAAGCCTTAATTTAGAAAAAAGTTTGAAAATATTTTCTTCTATGTTAATAAAAATAGTAAAATGCAATAGTTATTTTGAATATCATAGTTATAAATTAAATCAGTCATTAATTTTTTTCAAACACCCCGTATTAGCAAATCTAAAAAATTTTGATGCAGTGATAAATCACAAGTATAGACTCATCATATTTTGCACATTTAAGACTTTTTAGGGGGGGATGAGTAAATACATTTTGAACAAAAATTTACCATGCTTATAACTTTTAAAAATTTTCAAGATTTCAACGCATTCATTTTTTTTGAGACACCCTGTATAATCAAATCCAAAAATATGAATGGATTGATAAATCACAAGTATAGACTCATCATATTTTGAATATTTTAAATAGGATTTACACGGCAAAATTTGGGCTGAGGTCAACAATTTTTTGGAGGAGATAAGCAAATATATTTTGATTAAAACATTATCATGCTTATCATAACTTTAAAACATCTGTAAGATTTCAAAGCATTCGATTTTCCAGTTTAAAAATTAAATTGCAAAATGTTTTATAATTTTGATATATATTTTTTTTAATCTGGACGTTTTGGGTAAAAACTCAACACGGCTTCATAAACTACATGCGTTGGACTATGTTATTTTATACAATTTAAAACCCATTTGCTATGTATAATTTTAAAATGACATTATCACATTATTGGTGGGGATGATTAGACAAATTTTGGTTAGCGTTTTACCATCTACATGATATTCCTAATATACAGGCTGCTCAAAAAATGGCAACGGGACACCTATTTCTTCGTACTGTAGGGGTCATGAAAGGTAGAGAAAACGTAAAAGTAGATAGGCGGTCGACGGACTCGATTACAATACTTCCTTTGCTTACGCTCGGGAAGTAAAATGTTATACAAATTTTGAAATGATATCTACAGAGTGGTGGAAAGTGAGCTACTAACTTAATATAAAAATTTTATTAATCTGTAAAATTTTTGAGCCTAAACACTTTTCAGAACAAAGAAGCAGACACTTGTATATTTGTTCATTATACATTAATTTGTTAGGAACACATTTGTGTAGACATTTTATGTGCCATTGACCTCCACATTTTGTTTACATATCGTGATATAAAATTCTGTAATTTCTAGTTAAAATCATCCACACAAAAAAAGGATAAAATAAAAAGTTAAATATATTTTATGCGAACTGCGAAACAACCAAGATTTTTTAATAAACCGTTATATGATTTACGTAGAAAATAAAAAAAAACACGGTTTGTATACATTGTGTTAAAGTCTAAAGCATTTCACAAAGGAAAAAACGAAAAATTCTTTAGTATAAGGGAAAATATAAATTGAAGTAAAAAAATCTATTTTTTCTTTTTTTTTGTGCCTCAATTTTTGTAGGATTTGTTTTACTTTACAAATTAGAATTGTAAACGACTATATACTCAGTTTTTTATTTTTGTTTAAATTACGCGAGAAAAAGCTTGGTGTCAAATTACAATTTTGTTTTTTTTTTTTATTCACATCGTATACTTTTAATTTAATCTATTCATGTGGAATAGTAGACGACGTAGGTGATTAAAATTAATAGTGAAGTAAAGTAATAATTCTGATGATATTAAAAAGGATGAATATGTTAATTTCTTTCCTACTTAGTTTTAAAGTTCGTTAAGAAAAAGGTAATGTACACTACAATAAATTTGAAAAAATGTTAAACTACGACTTGTTGCAACCGTTCTTTTGACATTAGCTAAATCTTGATGGCATTGATGGCAGTCTCGATTTCTTTCTCGTTAATCATTTTATCCCCAAAATCAAAATTTTGGGAGGTTCGTGGGTCTTAGTAATTAAAGACAATACAAGGTATTTAAAAGATTTTCCGTAAATACTAATTTTAAATGTCATCGTGCCATAATCTAACCTTGAACGTCGCAACATTCGGCATTGAATTGGGTGTGGCGGCGACAATAACCGGACTAAAAATCCCAAATCCGGAGCATTTATTTACCAACGTGCAATTAAATACTTAGAAAAATTACATACACAAAAAAAATAATGACGTTACGTTTGTGCGCAACGCATCCAAAGTCATTGAATGCAATCAACTAATCTCTTCCGAACTATCGTCAAAGATCCGACGAAATTTTTTCGCGTAATTATGGTGGACCATGTAGGAAATGGATTGAATGTCAAAAGCCTGTTTAGGCGTGTACAATATTTACAGGATTAATTTATATTTCGAGTAGGGGAGTAACTAAAATGGGCGAGTATAAAAGCAATTCGGACTCCTGACAAAGCGTATTCATTTTTCAGACCTACAGCAAGGTTAGAAAAATCGTAAAATCAACAAAATGAAGGTGAGTGTGCGTTGCTCTTTTAATTAATTTTACCAATTAATTACTGTTTTTACTTGCGTTTTCATTAAACAAAAGCACATCGCGCTTACAACATAATTATACAAATTAATGGTAATTGGGAGGGCTTTTTTGATCTTTTGGGCGTTAATTTTGTAATTTTACATTTTTTATTACTGATGAGGGGTAATTATGAAAGTCCGATATGATTTTTTGCGTGCCTCTGCTTTCTTATTATTTTCATATGTTTTGATGTTTTGTTCCTGGCTTTGTGAAAAAGGTTGGCGGCGTTTCTTATCCTTAATGAAGCTTGTATTGTTCGTGAAAGATAAATATTTCATTCATCAGAATTAAGAAAAAATGTTTTTTAATTTGTAATTTTTTGCAAAGAGCTTATATTTTCGTTTTAAAAGTGATTTTACTAGATGAAAGAAGTTTAATGTATGATTAGTTTATTACGAAATTCGGAATTAAACTTAACAAGATTTTACGACCTTTTGTAATGCTGTATTACTTTAAATTATTTCAGTAAGATATTTTTTTGCTTTGTTCAACAAACTTGATGTTGTGAAGTAAATTGTAAGCAACGGATTGTTGATAAATTATATCTAAAACGTTGTAAAATTCTAGCGAAACGTACTCTCTCATGATAAATGTTGGTGACATTTTATAGTATCTAGAGAGAAATTTAGTTTTTTTGATGCGTCTAAAATTTCGGTAATTAATTTATCATGATACTTTAAAAAAGATAGAATATGTAGTCCAGTATACATACATATTTCATTCAGGATTGCAAAATCTACGCAGAAATAAATATCACTCGAAAATTAAGTTAGAGATAAATTATAATCACAAATGGAAAGGTCAAGGTGGAAAACTTCCACTTTTTGTTTGTGCGAAAGAAAATTTTAAAATGCATTTATTAATCTTAATTTCGATTGCGTTTTTTATTACTTGATAGTTTTGTGAAAATAAATTATTGCCTAAATTTTACATGAGTAATAAATGGGAAATAAAAATTGAGGAAGTGCGCAAAATTATGTCCTATTAATTATTTAATCATAAATGTGTAACCATTGTTGATAAAATCATTGCTTGTTAAGGGATGTGTTAAAACCAAAATTTCAAAGCTGAAATATTAAACAGAATATTTTATAAAGTCAATTTTGTTTGAAAATATGAAACAATTGTGAAATTGTTGCACATGCTTCCAACAAAAAATATGATGATATATTACAATATTTTTCTTGTAACTTTGTAGTAATTTTGCTAAAAATTCCCGCGGGATTGTGGATATATTAACCAAACTGCAGTTTGTAATTTTTCATCGTTCTAATGATAATGCGGCTACAGACAACCATTACCAAAGTTCACTTGTGTAATGACCTAATAATTACCAATTAAAGCGTAGACATTGCGCTACAGATGGCTGTTATGGCAATTAGGTAATTGTGGGAATGAAAATAAAATTATCCTGTATATTGTGGCGAAATTTCCTGAAACCCAGGAACAGTAAATTAGTTTTCAGAGTACTCGCTTCACCATTAAGTCCATTATTTCAACAAATTCCCCGCCAAATAATCGCCACAATAAACTAAAAACTCCGTGTGACATAATCCTCCAATCAATTTCTCGTGTCCTCTACGGCAAAAGTTACCGTTTTTTGCTCCCATTCGTATTTTTCTAACCAGTGTCGCTGTCATCTCTTGCATTTTTTGTTGCGGTATCTAAGGACATAAGCAAGGGATGCGAAGGAAGCGCCAGATTTACCCCGCCGTTTCTGAGCTTTTTACGTATTCAGTCTCTGAAAAATTTATTAAAAGATGATATGTTTTCGGGCGGACGTCTAAGCGGTCCACACTTTTATAAGTAAACACGACCTATTGGAAAATACAATTATTATGGGACCTTGTTACGATTTCATCGAATGTCCAACAAACTAAAGTGCAAGAATGTGTGCTGTCTGAACTTATTGTTGTTCGGAAAAAGTTTTTCAAGAAAAAAAATGTTTCTTATATTTCGGCAGGGTCGGGATTCAGAAATCTTACAAAAGCAGAAGTAGTATCATCTAAAAATACATTCCTTATTATTATTTTACATTAAGGTTCCTGCAATTAAATTATTTTCGTTTTTTCGGTTTCTCTTGCTATTAAATCCACTAAATTAAAATGTTCCTCTAGGTCAGTGACATTTTTTTATAATTTATTTACGAATCTTTATAGCTCAATTTAAACGCAAAAAATGTGTTCATCTCTTGCAACACTTTAATTTCTTATTAAATTAAAAACTGGAAAACATTTGCAACAAATCTGCAAGTACTGGGAAATTTTTCTACGAAAATCCCGCCGATAAACTTCGCAATCCTCAAGCGTCATTAACGCACAACACTTTTTCCAGTCCTTCGTTGCCCTCTGCGTCCTCCTCGCTGCCGCCTCCGTCAACTGCGGCGTCATCCCCGCCACCACCTTCGTCCGCACCCCCAGCTTCGACAGCGCCGTCATCAAGTCCGACCGTCTCGGCGGCAATTTCGCCTACAGCACCGTTGAGGGCCATGCTTACGCCGCCGTCTCCCCGGTGGTGCAGCGTGTCACCGAGCCCGTCGGCGTCTCCTACACCGCCCACCAGGTCAACCTCGGACATGTGCACACCCCCGTCGCCGTCTCCCAGCCCATTTACGCCCAGCAGTCCGTGGTAAGTAGGGCGAAACGCACCGCAGAACCAGATTAAACCGATTCTCGAAGCGACGTCAAGAAAGCACTCGATGTAGCACGTAATTACGGTTAATTTGCTTTGTATGGAGACGTCAAACTTGGTCATTAAACTAAAAATTGTACTAAACCGGTTACCTAATCATGTAAACAAAAATCAACTATTGAGAAATCTGAAGTCACTCTACTATTCTATTGTTATGTTAAATTTAGTCAAAAAAGGAACACTAACAGTAATAATAATTTATTGGTGATTATTACAACCAAGGTATTAATATGTATCAAAATACAAATAAGCCTAGGGCTCCTCTATGTTGTTTTATAACAATAATGAAATTTAAAAAATAAGGTTATTTAAAAATAGAACAGTATCCGGAAAAGAACGATACTGGTTTAAACTGGTTCCCTCCCAAAAAATGTACCATTTTTTCATGGTTTTGCCCAACAGGTAGCGCAACCCATCGTGTCCCACCAGCATTTGTTCTCCGCCCCCGCCCTGGTGTCTGGTCCCTCGGTGATCTCGTCGCCCATTTTCGCCCAGCACCCCGTGGTGGGTGGCATCGCCAGCCCCGTGTTGGGTGGCATCGCCAGCACCCCCATCGCCGCTGCCCCCGTCGCCCCCGCTGCCCCCACCCCCGTGCAAGGAACCGTTGTTGATGCCGATACAGTTGCTGTAGAGTCTGCTTAAATGTTACGTTAGTCAGTAAAGAATTATTTATGGTAATTTGTTATTTCGTCGAATCGTATCGATCAATAAAATGTTCACTGCCTAATTCTGAGTTTCAATGTTAACGGGGCATTTGCATAAGAAGTGGTTTAGTAGAGACAGGAAAAGGAAGGTGAATGTTTATTCACTGATATGGCTTGTTTTGACACTGGTATGAATAAATCAGAAGTTAAATTCGATTGACCGTTTTTTTGATTATTTTAAGGACGAGATTTCTTTGAAGTTTTAGCTCATGGAAATGAAGTGAGTTGAGAGAAATTTTTGGATGATTTGATTCTTCTTTTTCCTATCTGGTTTTATAAAGGATTGATTTTGTATACGCAGTGATCATTTTATTATGTCGATAAGCAATTTACATGATTAGTTACTTTTTTCTGGTTGAGATACTTTCAAAAACGTAGCAAAGGGTGTGGATTTTATTTTTGTTGTAATAAGTCTTTATTTACGCGTGTGCGAAGTATGTGCAGTGGAGGTCGTTGCAAAAATTTTGTATTCATTAATATGTATTTGTATACTTCCTGTAGTTATTATAGATCTTATTTTTTTGCGTTTCATTTTTAATTAAATGTCAAGAACGAAACCGGCACCTACGGTTCCTTTAGAAGTTGTTTTGTTTTAAGTTTAGCAATGGATCTGTGTTGTGGTTTGGTGAATATCGTTACAATGTGTTTATGCATACATCTTGAAGACAATTTTTTTAGTTTATATAAAGAACTTAGCATTTTATGTAGACACATTGTAACTAGAGTACATTTAAGTGTAAATGAGGCTTATTTTTACTTGTATTAAAATTGTTTAATAAAAGTTCCTTGATGATATTAAAATTTAAAAAAGTATTACGTATTTAATTTTTCCTCCGATACTGTGTTTTTTATGCCAAGGACACATAAATTATTTTCCTGCTATTTTTTGATGTCGATATAGGTTGATATTCTCTTTTACGAATTGTCTATGGAGGATGATTAAATTAATTCCACTAATTATTCAAGATAGATGAAATGTTAATAATCAAAGTTCCATGGTTTTTTGAATTCCATAATTTCCTCTTTTCAGATTTGGGTACACAGTGTTCTGTTTTCCGATTCTCATCTGAATAACTCGGGTTTAAGGTTTGGATTCTCCAACGTTTATATGAAATTTCTAAATTGAAATCATTAGAAGTAAAATATGACGTTCCACCTCACATTTTTTCTCATCTAAGTATTTAAGCTATTTTTACCCGTCTTTTCATCTGTTTTAAGTATTATTTTTTTAAGAAAATAGGCCAATTTTGACGAAGTTTTTTAATGCTTCTTTATAAAATCAAAAAGGTTAGTTTTTTTGTCGTGAAGTTTTTTAATATATTTTTTTAACAAAACAGGCCAATTTTTAAAAATTTGTAGAAGTAAATGACGGTTTATAATAGTTATTTAAGTTATAAGCAATTTAAAGCCGTGTTAACATTCGAGGTAAGTGAGTATACGAACCGAGGCAAAACCGAGGCTTGTCGCTTGCCGAGGATGTTAACACCTCTGTACGTATATTACGTTTTTTCCGCTGCTGGTCGAAATTCTCTTAAATTTGGATAAAAATTACGTTTGATTTCATATCCGTGAACAATTTCTAATTTTTTTGTTGTAAGTACGAATTTACGTATGAATCTTTTAAAAAATGGTGTGCCAAAAAAAATTGTGGAATCTGTGTCAGAAAACGTCGTGCTGGCTATATGTTAGAAAGATCGAACCAGCTAAAATCATCAGCCAGTTTATGGTACGACTATTTTATGTTGGAAACAACATTGAACTACAAATATCAACATATCGAAATTTTCAAAACTAGTGGGATTTTTGAAGCTGAAGCGTCAAGGTTATCGGCCAAAGAAGCCACAAGTATTAACAAGAGAAGGATTTTTTTTAAATTCATAGAAGACGCTGCAGATGAAACCTATCTTTTTATTCAAGGTAAGTCTTTTGTCTTTTCATTATTAAAATTAAACTCGATTTTTTTATTTGTTTTAGACCTTTATGATAGTAGGCATCGCAGGAGCATGCGCAACAGACGAATTCTGTAAAATGGAAATGGCTGATGTTACTGACCATGGAAAATACGTAATTATAACCAGTGGCGGCGTAGCGTACCCCCCATATAATAACAACAAATATAAACGTGCTCACTGGTCTTTATTTTAGCAAAATATTCTATGATCTTATCAAAATTTACTTTCCTTTTTTTTTACTATTGATAAATAAAATGGAAAAATTGTTTAATCGCGCTTAGCTCATTGTGGACCTTAAGCACGATTTTATCAATTTTAATTTTGAAAACCTTCTTTCACATGAAGCCATCGAGACAAATGGTTAAAAAAATCTTAGACACAACGCTAAACTCGGAACAGACTGAGAATAGCTCCATTTTACTATGAATCTGAAAATTACGTCCTAATTTTTCATTCGTTGTCAGATCGAGGGGCGGGGCTTAATTGCAAGATCTATATTTGTCTACAAGAATTTAGTATTTTAAACATGTTTTAAGTTTCTTGTTCTGGAAAGACGACTACGTATATAAAGAAAACAGGCAAAATATAAGTCCCGCCCACCTGCCCTATATCAATTGTGATGTTTTTTTTTAATTGTCAAGAGCCAAAGGAGTGGAATTTAAATGCAAAATTCTTATTATTTCTCTACAAGAAATTAATGTAAGACATGTTTTTGAGTATCGTGCTATTCAAAGAATGCTATGTATATTAAGAAATAATTAAAGCCAAAGATTAAGCCCCACCCATACCTGCCCTTATCTACATAGTAATGAAGTTTTCATTCGTTGGCAGACCTAGGGGCGGAGCCTAATTGCAAAATTCATATTTCCTTACAAAAATTAACCATTTTAAACGTGTTTTAAGTTTCTGAGAATAAAAAAAAATCATCACAATTAAGATGGGGAGGGTGGGCGGGGTAAATATTTTGCCTTTTTTTCTTAATACATATAGTATTTTTTGAACAACACGATACTCATTTATAATTTCTCGTATTTTGCAGTTAAGCTCCGTCCTCTTGGTTCACTGCAAATAATAAAAAATCATCATAATTGAGATAGGGCGGGTGGGCGGTATTACATTTTGCCGTTTTGTTTTAATATGTGTAGACTTCTTTTCATAACAGGAAACTTAAAACATATTTAAAATGGAAAATTTGTATAAGGAAATATCGATTTTACAATAGGCTCCGCCCCAAAATTGTAAAATCCATTTAACCATGTTTTAAGTTTCTTGTTATGAAAAGATGGCTATGTATATTAAGAAAAAAAAGGCAAAATATAACCCCCGCCCACCCCTGCTATCTCAATTTTGATGATTTTTTTTTATTCGACGTAAGCCAAGGGGCGGAGCTTAATTGTAAAATCCTTATTTTTCTACGAGAAATTATCATGTGAGATATGTTCTTAAGTAATCGTGTTATTCAAAGAAAACTAAATGTGGTAATTAAAACAGAAAACCAAAAGAGAAGTCCCACCCATCCGTCTCGATCTCAACCGTGATGAATTTTTCATTCGTTGTCAGACCGAGGGGCGGGGCGTAATTGCAAAATCAATATTTCCCTATACCAATTTACCATTTTAAACTTGGTTTAAATTTCTTGTTGTGAAAAGATGACTACACAGATTAAGAAAAAAAAAAGGCAAAATATAAGCCCTTGTCAATGTAACGTCAACGGATGATATAAACGACGCATACCTTCGCTGCGTATTTATCTTCCATCGGCAACGTCAACGGCGAAAAGCAACGTCAGCGACAAATTTATAAATCGACTTTTAGGTTGAACAACACTAAATATTACGAGAATATCATTCATTGCTGTCTAACGATGGTCTAGCTCTTCGTAAAATTTATCAAGACATTATTTTTAATTCCCGAGCATAAGCGAAGAAAGTATTGCAATCAAGTCAGTCGGTCGACTCCACTTTTACATTTTCTCGACCTTTCATGACCCCTAGAGTACTAAGAAATCTAGATGACTAGGGTAAAAAATCAACGCGGAATCATAGATCACAAGTATAGGAGTATGTTATTTGATAAAATAGAAATAACGCTTACTCATTATGAAATTGTTGGTAGGAATGATTTATTTAATAAAAATCGACTCAGTCAGACGACAGGCGACAGACGACAAACAGACGGAAAGATGAGACCTACACAATTTGGCGTTTTTTTATTTTCACCTGAGGGGGTACCATTTTAAACCCACCTTTATCCCAATCCTACGTTTAGACAGATCAGTTTAAGATGGACGTAATTATTGTCAATCCTTAAATTGATATTTGCATATCTTTTAAAAATAGAATCTGCTGTAATTGGAACAGTTACGTTTAAAAAAGAATTCATTACGTATTGAGTGAAAATGTTATGTTGCTTGAAGCATTTTTTTTTAATTATGTAAAATAAAACACAAATTCTCTATTATATAACTGTATTCATAGTTAAGATTTAGTAACAACTGACAGTTAAAACTATCGCCTGACAATAAACGCCGTTATATGAACGTCTTGTTTTTAAAAACAAGATGTGGTTGCATAAGATAGTTTCTCTACTTCGCGCTTTTTTTTTATTTTAAAATAAAAATTGGAATTTTAAAAATTTTGAGGAAGTAAAAATGAAAAAAAAAGGATTCGTATTTTAAAATAATGTTTTATGAAACTTGCGTAGAAGAGGTTTTCCTTATTATGAAATATGTCCAAACAGAAATAAAAATTGCAGTTTCTAAAAAATTAAATTCGACTCACGGTGAATTCAAGATTCAGGGAATTATAAAGAAAATTGTTGTAAGAAGCGACATTTTTTCGATTAAGCGTCCAAATTGTGCAAATTACATTTAAGTCTATTACTTTTAATCTTACAACACATTCACTGTACTGAATTCTCGACTGAAGTTTTAAATAACAGCTAACTCCAATTTAGTTTTTTCGATCACACGCTTTAAACACGTCTCTTCGTAGCTCAGTACTAACAAGCAATTAAATTTTTCGTTTGAAATGTATTACAGGGAAACTCACGTAATAAACATTTTCTTTATG